CATCAATTCTCTGTGAGAACTTCTCACAGATCTACATTAATTTAGTGAAATTATTATAGTCTAGGGTCTAGCTCTCTGTTTTGAAATCCAGAAACTAAGATGTGAAAATACTGACATTGGAAAATAAACTGGGTTGCTAGACTACTAATTTAAATAAAATATGTAGGTAATTTTTAAGTTTGCAGGATGCTTGCTTTGGCCTGACCAGTGCATCCTCTAACTGTTACAGAAAACTATCTGAGAATCTAAATCAGAAGTTTGGCTGATGTCACGTTGTCATGGCAAGGAGAGTTATACGCTTCCAGAGTTCAAAGGAAACAGGATAGGCTGCGCCTGGCAGGATTACCTGTCAATAAGGGATGTATCTGCCACATACCACCATCTGTTTCTCAGGGCGGCTTCTTCATGGCTAGGAGTTAGAGGAACACTGTCAGTGTTTGTCACTCTGATTCTTCTGTTCCATGTCTGCCAGGCTCTCCTCAGCTTGGCTTTCTCATTAATGTTAGCACCGCGTTTATAGTCAAAACTTACTTCAATCTGTGAATAGTTTGCTCTGCCTACCATGATTTTGTACATACCTGACCATAACCGTGTGTTGACTTTAAAATTTAACTCTGAGGCTTAATGGGAGAAGGGATGCCTAATTGTGATCCCTACACATAACCTAGGAATTTAGAAAATATAGGTTAAGATACTTACATTCATATTTACAACTATCCAAGCAATCCTCCCAGCTTTGAAATACCAGTATAAGAAAATTGTCTTTTTACATATTAAAACCAAAAAAACTTCTTGCTCTAGAAGTTATGTGTATGACCCCTAAAAAATATAAAATAACTTGGCCCTTTCATGCAGAATCTCAAAAAGAAATACAATCTAGGAAAGTTCCAAATTTATGGGAAATTATGCAGTGTCAATCAGGTAAGGAGGTTGGTGGGAATTGATTACGAGTCACACAGGGACACAAAACGGGTGTTTCATGAATCTTTGTCTTTAGTAAATAATTACCAGAGGGAGACAATGATTGAGTTGACGTTGGTTAAGATAGAGACAGAGGGATGTACAGAATCCATTGCAGACGTCCACAGACAGGTGAGAGGTTCGAGGCTATGATCTGAGGGAAAGAATGGTTGCTGGTAGCAGAGATAATTAGCAGGGGACATGAGGAGGTACAAAGAGTTGAGAAAGGATCCTACGTGTATAGTACAAAGCGGGAAAAGCGATGATGCCGAGAAGCGCTTGGAAGAAATTTCAATGCTTCCTTTTCTGATAATCATCCTCAATCCCTCCTTTTAAAAATGTTTTTATAAGATATATATATATGTACATATATAATATATAAACATTTTTATGTACATATATGTAATGTTTTAAAACATACACTTTTTACAACATGCAAGCTAAGTAAATATTATCAAGAGTGAACGTTTACATGGCATTTACATGTACTAGGCACTTTTTTTTAGATACTTTGTCCATATACTCCTCACAACAACCTTCTTAGGAATGTAATACTGTTATTTGCATTTCCACAAATGGAAAAGTTAGGCGCAGAAAGTTAAGTAATTTGCCCAATATGATACAGCCACTGAGTAGAGAGTTAGGAAATGAAGGCCGCCAGCCATTTAGTGCTCCTAACCACTAAACTACCTGTGTAAAACCAAAAACTCTTGGTGTGAAAACAGTATCCCTGCTCTGCGCGTGTGGCTTCAAAGCAAGCGCCCTAGTTCCCATTTCCAACCAGAATGCTTCCCTTAATTTCCTCCAATAGGGATATCCTGGCATCCGTCCTGGAAGGAAGGGAGTGTGCGGACCAGGAACCCTAGCAGGCATTAGCGAGGCAGGATGTGGAATGAGCCCCCTGATTTCTGAGGGGCGGTAAGGAGGTTGTTGCTAGCAGAAACTTAGTTCCAAAATTTCATAAAGTGAGCTAACTACTAAACTACTAAATATACTACTAAATGTAAATCTTAGTTCCACTTGTTATGTTACAGGCTAGAAATTGTCAGGTTTTCAGCGTAATACCAAAGAAGCACAACAGGGAGATGCCAGCTCTTTGCTGTAGTTCAACTGAAGTGGCTCTTCAAGTGCGCGTCTCATAGAGACCCTCCACTACTAAATCCAGTACTTTCTGCCTCCCCAGACCATCTTGCACCCTCAGCTTCCATTATTTTAGTGTTACTGTACATATGTAGGTCAGTGTTTAGAGAGAGATTCTAGTAGTGGCTCAACTTACTTTGCCAAATGACATCTCTTTGACCCCAAATTATTTTTCATTGTGATATCTGCACACACTTCAGCTTTTGCCCTACGGTATCTTAAAGACATTATGGCACCTGACAGAGGTGAAGGTAACTCAACTAGAGCCAGGTAGGGGAGGAAGGGGATAGTGGATGAAAGCAAGAAGCCAAATAGGCAGTCAAAATCAGTTGAGCATCTGTAATGTGCCATGTGCTAAACACAGAGCGGCGTTGGTGGAAAGTAATAACTGCTCTTATAGGAGCTTATAGTTTGGCTAGGAAGACTAAGTGAGGTTGACCCTTGAACAACGTGGGTTTTAACTGCACAGGTTCGCTTATATGGGAATTTTTTTCAGTAGATACAGTTGGCCCTCAGTATCCGCATATGTGGAAACTGCAGATGTGAGGGCCCACTACTGGACTCGAGCTTGGTGGATTTTGATATCCTTGGCAGGTCCTGGAATCAATCCCCTGCAGATAGCGAGGGAGATGACTGTAATCAAATAACTGATTTAATGTGATAAGCGCTCTAAGAGGATGTCCAGGGTGTTTTGAAAATCAAAATGGATATTTGTTTTTTCTGCTTGGGAAGAAATGCCTTTTTTTTCAGAAATACAAATGCACCTCTTGCATTTGTTTCTAAAAATTAAGAAATATGCTAGTTACAAAGAGTTAAACGTTCTACAATTATAAAGCAGAAATAAAAAATGAACTAAATCCTGTCATTCATAGAAAGCCACTGTTATAAATGTGAGATATATTCTTTTCTACATATACTCACATCTTTTTGCAAAAATGGACTCAAACCATGCATGATGTTTTGCCATCTTCTGTTTTCACTGAACAGTTTCTACAGCCATCTCTCTATTTGAAGGGTATAAAGTGACATCATCACGTGTAAAGTCTGGTGACATTGTATGGCAGTACTGTTATTTATTTCAGCCATCCAGATTGGACCTTCATATGTTTTCTAATTTTTGTTTTTACTATTGTAAATATTGATACTTCTCGTGAGATGAAAATTATTCAGACATTGCTGGGTCACAAGGTACTGTGCCATTCAGAGTACCTGGCAAGGCCCTATCTTGTTGCAGCTCCTGGAATTGCAGACATCAAGGCTATGGAGAAAATATGGGATTTCTGAGAAAGTGTCTTGTCAATTCATCTCCTTTTTTATTTTAGAAAAGGACCCATCGTGTATGCTAACCCTTTCACCAGATGTTTAACCTCACTAACATTGAAAATGTGCTGATAATTGTCAAAGAAATATTTTCTTATATTTGACTAATAGAATTTTATCAAAAGTCAACAAAATATTCTATCACGCATGCCCATAGGTTGGAAATATAACAAAAGTCTGAATTCTGTAAGTTATTGAGATATTGACTAAAGTTAGAAGCAGTGAATGGTTTTTACTGAATATGCCTGTAGTATAAAATGCTATTATGAATGTGGGGAAGTTCAGTAATGCTGTAATAGGAGATTAAAACTAATTTGAGTTATCTTCTTTATCCAAATATAGTGTGTTAGAATCCTAGAACTGAAAAAGATGCAAAATTTGGTTTGTCAGATTATTCACATTATTTATAATATTTTTATCTAAGTTCTTCTTTAATGAATAATTGAAGAAATGTATCATTCCATATCATTCTTTGGCACCTGCATTTAGGAGAAAAAAAAATTCTGGAGAGATGGAGCAGCCTGTTTATTCTAAGGAAGGGGGAGAAGGGGAAGAATCAGGATCTTTCCTCAAATTGGGAGATTGGGATTGACACATATATACTATTGATACTATGTGTAAAATAGACAACTGCTGGGAACATACTGCATAGCACAGGGAACTCTACTTAATGCACTGTAGTGTCCTAAATGGAGGGGATATATATATATATATATGTATGGCTGATTCATTTTGCTGTGTAGTGGAAGCTAACACAACATTGTAAAGCAACTATACTCCAATAAAAATTAATTAAAAAAAGAAATAAATATTTAAAAAATTGCCTTAGCCACTCTACTGCAAACTACTTGTCCTATTTACACTGTTAAATAGTAGGCTCTCAGGGACAGGATCTGCAGTGGCAGAGGAAGTAGAGATTTGAATTGTCTCTATTTCTGGAGGGATCAGAACCCACAGGGGGGAAAAATGTGGTTAAGTAGAGATTGCAAGGGAAGTTTTGATCCTGAGTTTTACAGTAAAGGTTAAAAGTCAATTGTCAACAGCCTACTATTGGAGAAGAGGGAAAAAATAAAAAGGTTACCCATAAATATAAAGCTAATACTTTGAACTGAAAAAAAGATGAGAGCTTCTGAGTGATAGTACAGGCTTAGCTGGTTAGGTACTGTGAGTATTTCTCAGTGTGGTAAGTGCGTGTTGAATGAATGACTAGTATATTAAGGTACTGGGAAGAGAGAGTATATGTATGTGTATATATATATACATATATATAGACATATATGTACACATATACACATTCTTTTTCATACTCTTTTCCATTATGCTTTATCACAGGATATTGAATACAGTTCCCTGTGACATACAGTAGGACTTTGTTGTTTATCCATTCTATATATAATGCATCTGCTCATCCCAAACTCCCAGCCCTTCCCTCCCCCAACCGCCCACTCCCCACAACCATAAATCTGTTCTCTATGTCTGTGAGTCTGTTTCTGTTTCTTAGATAAGTTCATTTGTGTCATGTTTTAGATTCCACCTATAAGTGATATCGTATGGTATTTGTCTTTCTCTTTCTGACTTACTTCACTTAGTATGATAATCTCTAGGTCCATCCATGTTGCTGCAAATGGCATTATTTCATTCTTTTGTATGGCTGAGTAGTATTCCATTGTATATAGGTACATCTTCTTTATCCACTCCTCTGTCGATGGACATTTAGGTTGTTTCCATGTCTTGGCTATTGTGAGTGGTGGAGTTCAGCTTGATTTTAAAACTATTCCAGTTCAACTGAGAAAAAAAAAAATCAAACACTTTTCAGGCCAATCGGATTGTCATTAAAAGAGTTAGATTTATTCATTTATACTTGTTTTTATGGCTTTTTCTAAAGAATAGGTTTATTGTTATGAGTTGTATAGGAATCTAAAAATAATTCCTGTACAGAGATAAATTAGTATATTTTAATTGCATTATTTTTATGTAAATTAGAATTTTTTATGGTTATATTCATGCATTTCTTCATTCAACAAATATTTTGAGTGCCTACAATGTGCAATTTTCAGTGCTGTGGATAGAATAATAAATGAAACAAGCCCCTACTCTCATTAAAATTACACTCTAGTGCTGAAGACAAACAAATTAACAAATATGTTTTATAATATCAGATAGTGGTAAGGATTTTTTTTTGATTTGTATGTGTTTTATTCTATATTAGTCTCTTAAATCAAATAGAAAACAAAAAGTGGAGCTACAAACCTAAATTACGATAGTACTAGCTTTTCTCATTGCCTGTCTCTCTACTTTTACCAGAGGTCTTTATTTCTTCATAAGGCTTTGAGTTACTGTCCAGGGTCCTTGACTCCAACCTGAAGAACTCCCTGTGGCAGGCAGGTCTGGTGGTTAAGAACTCTCTCGACTCTTGATTAACTGGGAATGTCTTGTTTTCTCCCTCATTTTCAAAGGAAAGTTTTGCTAGATATAGGATTCTTGGTTGACGGTTTCTTTCCTTCAACACTTCAAGTACATTGAGCCATGCCATCTGGCCTCTGAGACTCCTGATGAGAAATCTGCTCACGACCTTCCTGGCAAATCTTCTCTCAGCTTCGTAGACTTTCATAATGTACCTTATCGTGTCTTATGCAACAGAACATTTTGTATAGTATCGTGAAGTCAGTTAAGTTGTAACATTATTTTGAGACCAGAATTTAAGGAAAAGGAATTGAATATTTCAAGTGTAGACATTGTGAGGTCTTTAAAACTATTACACATTTTCAAACTAGAAATAAAAAGACCACTGAAGTATCCTACAGATTTTAATTTATAACAAAGTGAATACCAATATCTAATAACACACGTACAGAAAAATTTCTTTGGGATCCTTTTTCCTAAGTGTAAAGGGGCCTTGAACTCAAAAAGTGAGAAAACCACTGTGGTTTATCCCCAGCGGTGATGGGTCCATTTCTTGCTCTGACCTCAGAATGCCCCACTGTGATGTAATTCATAAGAACCCAGCTGGGCGCAGGTATTTTGTCCTTAGAGCCCAGGAAGCTGCTTTTGGTGACCTGACGGCCTTGGACCCACAGTTAGCTTGTTTTTTCCTTGTTTCTGCCATTTTGTTGATTTTTTTTTTTACTCTTTTCTCTACCCTTTTTTATTTTTCTCATTTTTCTTTGTTCTTTGCCTTTTTCTCATTTTTCTTTATTTTTCTCTCTTTATCATTTCTTTTAGTTTTAAATTTGTTCTTCTCAATTTTTTTGGTGTTTCCTTTCCATTTCTTCTGCTTTCCTTTGTTCCTTTGTTCTTTTTCTCATTTTTATCTTAATTTTAGTTGGTATTGCAAGATTAGTACAGTTAGCATAGTCAGTATTGTTGGTATAGTTAGCGTAGTTGGTATAGTTAATACTTTATTAGCATAGGTAGTGTAGTTAGTACTAGTTAGCGCTGTTGGTACAGTTAGCATACTTAGCATTGTTAGTACAGTTAGCATTGTTAGTTAGCATAGTTAGCATTGCTGGTTAGTGCTGTCAGTCAGTGTAGTTAGCAGGTCAGCATGATGGAGGGCCTCACAGCCAACTCTGCTGACAAGGAGGCTCATATTGATGATTACGAGATCCTCCACACCATTGGTGAAGGCACCTTCGCTAAAGTGAAGCTGGCCCGGCACATTCTGACCGGGACACAGGTGGCTGTCAAGGTCATTAAGAAAAGGCGTCAGAGCTTATCAACTTTCCAGGAACGTTTCCGGGAAGTGCGCAACATGAAGGCTCTGAATCACCCCAATATTGTAAAACTGCTGGGGGTGATTGACACGGAGGAGACATTGTTCCTCGTGATGGAGTACCTCAGTGGGGGGGACATGTTCAGCTATTTAGTGAACCATGGCCGTATGACAGAGACGGAGGCCCGAGGCCCGTTCCAGCAGCTGGTCTCCGCCCTGCAGCACTGCCACCAGAGGGGTATCGTGCACCGGGACCTGAAGCCACCGAATCTCCTCTTTGATTCTAACATGAATCTAAAACTGACAGACTTTGGCTTCAGCAACAAGTTTGATGACACTGCCCAACTGGACACGATCTGCGGCACACTCCCGTATGCTGCCCCAGAACTCTTGCTGGGGCAGAGCTACAGCGGCCCTGCGTTGGATGTGTGGAGCCTGGGAGTAGTGCTCTACACCATGGTAACCGCATGCCGGCCCTTTGTGGGGAAAGACGCCCACGAGCTGCGGAAGCAAATCCTACAAGGGCAGTACCCCATCCCACCTTACCTGTCTTTGGAGATAAGGGGTCTATTACAAAAAATGATTGCCCTCAACCCCAGTGACAGAGACACCTTACCTGACCTCATGAGGCACCCATGGGTGAACATGGGCCAGAAGGAGCCACTCCAGCCACCCTGTGAAGAGGACCCAGAGGTGACAATGGTGAGGACTCTGGGCATGACTCGCGATCAGATCCAGGACCCAGGAACAGGCAGTATGAGCTCCATGAAACAAATGGTGGGGTCCTCCATCATAACTGTGAGGCCCTTGCCTTCCAGGGACCTCAGTGGCAGTGAACGTGAGCCTTCTTCAAGCTCTGAGTTGTCCACCCTGATAATCAGATGGCTCTACCAGGGAGAAAATCTGCAGCTGCAGGAAGACCAGCAGGCAGGACAGAAGACCAGTGAGCCTGCCTGGCCCCCTCCCAGCCTGCAGTCGACGACTGCCACCCCCAGCCCAGCCCACCAGTGTGGCCCTGGGACATCCCCCTCCACCAGCAGCAGGATTGGAGCCCCAGAGGGAACCAGCTGCCCCCTGGGGGTGTCCAACACTGGAAGGTCCTCCCACGCTGGGCAGCCTGAGAGTATGTCCTCATCCACTCCCTCTGGCCACAGCCAGAAAAAGCAAGGGGTGGCTAGGAGAATCTGGAAGTTTACATTAAAACGCCTTTGTTGCAAGCTACCCTGCGAGAGGTGTCATAATAAAGTGAGCCCATCTGAACCCCATGGATGACCGAGGCAGGAAGGTCAGGCCGCCGCGCTCCCTGGGACCCGGTCCAGTGGAAGATGAGTGTGTTCTCTGCACGGCCTTCAGAAGCATCGTATCCAAGACCCTGGCCAGCTCAGAGGATGGTCCGGAGCAGCCCAGGCGACCGAAAGAGAGGCCACCGTGGCTGCAGGTCCGCCCCTCAATCCCCACCTGGGTGAAACTTCAGAGACTGGACTGTCATTCCTGGGGCACGTCTCCCCTCCCCCACTCTTCTGTCTTCCGTGTTGGTGGGGGAGGGGGAGAGTTCTTGTTCGAAGAACTCCTTGGTTCTTCCAATTCTACTTAATAAACTTGATGCGCCAGAAAGATGTATCACACTGTGCTTTGCATCGTCCCTGCACAGAATTGGGGCTGTGCATTTTCCAGTTAGACAAGTGTGTAGCCATGTAGTGCTTGGAGTTAATCAGAACAACTAAAGGGAAAAATGACCTAAGAGAATTAGCACAATGACTCCCAGCAGCAACAACTGCTGCACTGCAGGGCAGAAATGCAGGAAGTGTGAAGTACCTTCCTGCACTAACATTACCGAACATTTTCAGAAGGGCCGAGGGGAACTTTTGGTCCCTGCAGCCTGTGTTAATTACAACAGAGAGGCCCATGAAAGGATAAGAAGGTCCCGTGAACCAGCCTGTGCACGGTGTGGTAAGGTCCCTGTGCAGCTGAGTTTCATGACTGTCACGTAGCAGTTGGGCTCTCCTCTTTCCCCGTGCGGAGGGGCCCTGATGCATGGGTTTATTTTATTTTTTTTGATGTACACCATTTTAAAAGTCTTTATTGAATTTGTTACAATATTCCTTCCGTTTTATGTTTTGGTTTTTTTGGCCGCGAGGCATGTGGGATCTTGGTCCCTGACGAGGGATCCAACCCGCACCCCCTGCCCTGGAAGGCAAAGTCTTCACCACCTGACCGCCAGGGAAGTCTCTTTTTTAATTTCATTGTTTTGATGCATGGGTTGGACCACGGGGACTGGATGATTATACTAGATGATCATACTCTCAAAACACTAGATTTGTCAGCGTTCCCTGGTTCCCTGGTTCAATAAGCCCTTGAACACACGGGTGACTGGAGCAGGGTCTTCTTCCCAGAGGCCTCTCTCTGGGGGCACATGCTCTCGGAGGCATCACCTGCAAAGTCCCATTGGCTCTCGTCCGCTTACAGGTCACTTGCCGACTGCGGAATCCTTCACCACAAGACACAGAGCACTCTGACCACGTGCCCGTGAACCACCTAAGAACAAATACTCGAGGGGCAGTCCCAGATGTTACAGGGCTGGACCCAGCCATCAGCTCCTGGAGGTGCTCACAGAAGGCCTCACTCACTTCCTGCCCGTTGGCCATTACGCACTGGGGTCTCTGAACTCGGGCTCCCAAGTGGCCGCGAGTGGCACAACAATGTGTCCAGCCACCAAGCTCCCAGAAAGTCTCCAAAGCCCCACCCATCCATTGCACTTGTAAATACCACATTTCCCTGGTCTGGAGAGAAGTAAAGGTGAGAATCATCCGTGTCCTCCAAGCCAGTGCTCCAGTCACAGTTGCTCTCCTTGCTCAGAATTTGGATTCACTTGGGATTCAGTCTCTCTCTCTGCTCTTTCTTCTAGCACTTT